AAGGGGGGGGGGGTGGTTTCTTCTCTTCCTCTTTCTTCTTCTCTATAATTTTCTTAGCAAAAATAAGACAAAGCAATCTCCCATGGAATATGTAAAATAGTTATCTCCACCGATTAATGGGAGGAAAAATGAAAAGCATCAATAAGATTGATCGCCTCTATTTTGTCTTATGCGTTATTTTCTGATTTGCTTATAGATCTAGAGTTTATTACGTTTGACTAAGATTTACCTCTTCATCTTCTTTAATTGATTTAATCAAAAAGGTTTCAATATTTTTTGGGTCAAATAATTTGGCGCCGTCTGTGGGGATTTTTTATTGAAAACTTCCTAGTCTCCTCCAGATCAGAAATCGGAAACACGATCACCCACCGAAATGAGTGGTAAGTAAACCTCATACGCCAACCCAGATCATGATGCTATACACAAGCAGAAGTTTCAACCAACATCCTCCCTTACACGCCGGGCAGCCCACGAGCTAGCCAAAACGAGCCTAGCCCACACAGGACGAAGGCACAAAAGAAAGGGGAAGGGAAAAAGAGCTGAATACGGCTACTGAGTTCAGAAAACATCACCCCCATCAACCATTGAAACTCCAAAGCAAAGCGAGCAACGCAACAGATCCACCTTCTGCTGTTTGCTCAAACAAGAAAGCAGCATCGGCGGGCAAGCAAGCAAGGAAACATCCCAATTGAAGAATGGGAAATTGCTACAAAACGATCGAAATATCGTGCGCCAAACAAACCCAAATCCTAGGAAATGATACCCCTTGAGCGATACCCCCTATCCCTCACCAAGAAGGTGTCCCGAGAAAGCCCTCCCAGGCACTTGAAGAGCGGGCCGACGAGGGAGAACTCACCAAGATCAAAAGACCGTCGAGGAGAAACTCCAATAGGTGCACGAAACAAGTGTGAGCAAAGTAGCAGCGTTTTCTGCTTTCCAACACCACATTCCCCGACGCAAATAAAATCAGGTGAAATGGGAATCTCCCAGAAGATACCCAACTCTCGGGAAAACCGGGACTAACGATGGGTTAATATTTTGATGAAAGTTCGAAATAACACCTTTCAGGCCAAGGGCCTTCGCCTTCCACCTCGATCGAACGACGACGGGTTAGTATTTTGACGAAAGTTCGAAATAACACCCTTAATGCCAAGGGCCTTCGCAAAAAAGAAGAGTTCAACCTTGATCGAACAATGGCGGGTTAATATTTCGACGAAAGTTCGACATAACACCCTTAAGGCCAAGGGCCTTCGCCAAAAAAAAAAAGTTCGACCTCGATCGAACGACGACGGGTTAATATTTCGACGAAAGTTCGAAATAACACCCTTAAGGCCAAGGGCCTTCGCCAAAAAAAAAAAGTTCGACCTCGATCGAACGACGACGGGTTAATATTTCGACGAAAGTTCG